AAAATTATAATTATTCTAGTTCTTGTGCTGGGATAATTGTTATTATTTTCCATGAAAATTATCTGAGCGAGAAAAAAGCAGCGAGACCGCACAGATACCAGCACTGATTTTTTCAACAACTACAAATATCAGCCTGAATCGAACAGTATGTCACAAAATAAAGTTTCCGCAAACAACTTTTCCAAGTAAATAATTATGATGTGAGACACATCTTGAGTCATGAAAGAATCCGAAATTACGACCTATATCGAGAAATTAAATCCAAAATAGAGGTAAGTTTTGGTTTCGCTCCAGAATTAAAACGCGCATCCTTCCATAAATAATACACTAAACACCGCTCTTGTTTTCAGGTTAAAGAGGTGACCTGAGCTCATAAAACATTAGCTTCCTCGTATTACCAGAAATAATTTATGTCGCTCAGTGAAGCCAGCACACTAGACAGGCTCAACAGTGGCACGCATCTCTGACCCTCACTAAACCCGCCATCTTTGAAAATGAGTGACGCCACCTATAGTTGGAGTCGCGAATAGGTCAATTTAGAGGTTCGTACCCTGTCATCTTCTTTGCGTGCATGCATGTAAATATAATAACTGGTAAATTAACTTTTCATAGCGGTGCGGATTTCTGTTTGTTTTTCTAAGCATGTAATTTGATGCTTTCTTTTATTATTATTTTGCAGATTAGCAAAATTCAAAGTTCGTGTATAACAGGATTTGCCATGGAAATTGTTATTTTCCCAGTAAAGTGGTCTGAAACCTTCGTTCCACGGAAGTTACGCAGATATTATGAAGTGTGAGCAAGTAATTGACTTCGTTCGAGTCGCGTCTTCCAGTCACGTCGTATAGCGCACGTGACACGTACTGGTCAAAAACGTTAAAGGGCAACTCCGCTCAATTCCGAAGATTTCGGGATAATGAGTGATTTCGAATTAAAAAGCCCTAGTAAAAGACACTACGTCGTTTGCTTCGCGAAAAATGGGATATATATTTTTAAATCTAATTTTAAACACGAGCGGAAATCGAAACCGAAACTTCGGCTCCGTCCGGCGACATTGGCCTCGGGCCGCCAAGTACATGGCCATCACGTGGTACGAGATGTCACGTGATCCTCGGCCCAACGACGGGCGGGATGGGGGCGGGCGTGCGGCAGGCGCGAGTGTCGTCTGCACCGCACTCTTCGCCACGTTTTGGTGTCTACGGCATTCGACATCTGCACAACTGCGGCATAAGTCTGCGACTGTGCGCACGTGGTGTCCATAGTGTGGACGAAACTCCGAGAGGCATTAATCACAAACGGTGAGACGACGACGGTGGTTGTGACGCGGAAGACGGCGGTAACGGCGGGAACACGGCGGGCGGTTGGTCTGCTCCCAAGAAGCGCGCTGCGCAGGCGCGTACGCCAATCACGTGGACACCGCTGAGCGCCGAGAGGCAACGTTGCTGACGTCATGCGCTACGCTCGATCGGAGAAGTAAAAACAAGCAAAGGGGGGCCATGATGATGACGTTTAGCTCAATGTTGGCTCCGCCCATGCCGTAGCCTTGACTGCGCTGTTGGATGCGCCTGAATTCGCCCGCTGGAGTCAGCCGATTTCGGCAACTTGGCGAGTTGCAAAGTTTGCCGGACCGTTTAAGAAACATTTAGACAGAACGGCGTCGTAATATTTGACGTGTGGTCTTCCTAGGCGATACTGAAGAGGACTGCATTGTTTTTTCAAAACAAAAATAAAGCGGAGTTGCCCTTTAACCGGCTACGCCCGATGTGCACTGCGTTCGAGAAAACATATTCGTGTTTGGCCTTGATCGGAAAGCAGCACGAACACTTAAAATATGTATGTAATACCGGTAATGAACCTGGAGCAGAATCCCAGTCGGTCAAATGAGTCGACTTGTCGGCTTCTGACCAAGGAGGCCCCTCTGGGACAAATTTGCATCGTGATTCGGAAACGCGCGTCAAATTAAAACACCAAGCGAGGATAACTGAAAGAAAAGGCCGCCTAGAAATAGATATTGGCAGAGCGATCCTCGACAACGGGACCGCTGAAGTTAAAAAAAAAAAGGCTTCGGACAAGCTGGGCGCAGGGCATTGAACTCTTGAAGGCTAACGGGCCAAACGGTGGTTAACGGTCACTGTTACATTTGTCTTACCATAAAAATGCATGGTTACGCGCGGTTCTGAATATTTTCTAAAAATAATAACTTAAGTATAAGCAATTTGTAGTATCGAGACAGTTTAAATAAATCAATAAACAAAGAAAAAAAAGCTATAGTTCACCATGCAAAATTTAACCATACTGTTCTCGGGGCGCTGCCAACGCCCGATTACCGGAGGTGGCCTTGAGTGGGACCACTACAATGTTACGCTGTGTTCCGCACTTGCTCCATAAGTACATACGCTCCCCAGTCGAACACTCGATCCGACCCATCTTAATTTCTTAATGGCCACTGGTTTTGATCATGGGCTCTCTTTGCCACATCGCTTCCGGACGGAATTTAACAAGGCTCCCTTCAGTAGTCTTCAGTAGCAAGAAGCAGACGGAGCCGCCACGAAGGCTCGATAAGCAGAAGAAAAACTCGCCTCCGCATGACGCGTCTTGGCACACTGGACGGAGCAAATATACCACGTGGTTCCATCGTAGGATGAGACGGAGTATGGTACCCGCGACTGGTCTTTGAACACTTGGAAACTTCAACTTTTAATTTCTGTTTTTTCTTTGGATTTTTTTTTTTCTGTGTTTGGCGGTTGGATGTGGATAAGCATTAACTGTCTCATGGAGCGAACCGCCGTTATCAGCTTTTAAAGCCGCGCCAATCGGCACCTATATTCCCCTGTCCGATGGAGCGAAGCCCATAGGCTGTCGCGGCGAATTGAGGGATACCTTCCCATTGGCTGGCGCGCGTTGTAGTTTCAAGGAACGCCACCCCATGGCTCTGCGCGCTCGCGAGTTCCTCGATATGCTCCCCCGAAGGGTGAGCAGAGTTGCGCATTTGTTTTCCCCGCGCCGCCACGCCGCTATTCGCCGAGATCCATCACGTGAGGAGCAGAGCATCCGGCGCCGTGCAAGAAAGCCACCTTTACGGTCGCTCCGCCGACGTTGCTCGCGCCCCGGCGTATGTTCCCCTGCTTTCGCCCTCCTTCTCCTCCTCTCCTGTAGTCACGGCTTGTGGTTTGGGCGCCGTGAGACCCGGGAAGGCAGGGAGCCAGCCTTTTGGGGGGAAAGCGTTTATTCCGGTTCGAAGTCGTGCTTGCACCAGCTCCAGCCCACCGCGTTCCTTTTCTCCTCGCGCACCGTCTCCAGCCTCGGTCCTTCCGTCGTCACTTCGTCTTTTTCTCGTCGCACCAATCAGCGCACACCACGGGTAACAAAAATATAACAATCACAAAGCCCGATAACCCGTCGGCGACGGCGCGCGCTGAATCCGCTGCCTCGTGCATGCCACATGCATGACACGCCCCCCCCCCCCCCCCCCTTTTTTTTTTCAATAAAAAAATCACAATTTGTGTATTCCTTTACAATCGTAGCCATTTAGGACAAAAGAAAACGAACTGCGCGCACATTCCCGTCCATTCGGCGTGAATGATCACTAGAAAGACTGACAAACTTCTTGAGAACATCTAAAGTACATGAACCACAAACAAAACTCCACCCGGCTACAGCCTTGACAACGCATCAGCAGGGACATTTCTCGTCCCTTTTACGTACTGGACATTCAGGTTAAATTTTTGCAACGCTAGCACCCAACGAGTCAGCCTCGCACTATTTGGTGCTGCTGACGCCAAATACTGCAAAGGGTTATGGTCGGTGCGAATTTCGACCTCCGCCCCAAATAGCCACGTTTCCAACTGACCCAAGGCCCACACAATCGCGTAAGCTTCGCGTTCGATTACAGCCCACCGGGTTTGGGGATCAGTTAGTTTTTTACTGAGAAACGCCACCGGGTACTCTTTCCCATCACCTGCCCTTTGGGCAAGACATGCCCCTATAGCTCTATCCGATGCGTCGGTGGACAGAACAAAAGGCTGGCTGGCATCTGGCGCTCTCATGACTGGGACTTCCATCAGCAGACACTTTGCCTTTTGAAACGCTTGTTCCTCCTCGTCACCCCACGGTAACACGTTCGGAGTCCTGTCTCCAGTTCGCGCGGTCAACGGCAACACCACTTCAGCATAGTTCGCAATGTAGTCTCTATAGTAGTTCATTAGCCCTAAAAAGCTCTTCAGTTCTTTCTTCGTCTTTGGCCTCTCCATGATCTGAATCGCCTTGATACGAACGGGGTCAGGAGCATGCCTCCCAGAGCCGATCTGGTGGCCGAGGTACATGACCATTCCCTGGGCAAACCTGCATTTGGACAGCTTCACCGTAAGCCCCACGCGACTTAAGGTTTCGAGAACGCTTTTTACGTGCAAAAGGTGGTCTTCCCACTTATAAGAATATATTGCAATGTCATCGATATATGCGCCTGCATATTCTCTGTGTGGCCGCAACACTTCATTCATCACGCGCTGAAAAGTTGCCGCTGAATTTTTCAACCCACAGGGCATAACTTTCCATGCGTACTGCCCACGATTGGTTACGAATGCCGTGAACTTCTGAGACCGTTCTTAGACTGGTATTTGCCAATACCCACGGGTTAGGTCCAGTACTGTTATGTACGACGCCTTCGCGACCATCCAGATCATTTCGGTAGCATTATTCATTGGAAAGGCATCGACTTCAGTGATCGCGTTTAATTGCCTATAATCGATGCACCATCTCACACTCCCATCCGTCTTCGCTACACACACTACCGGATGAGCAAACTCTGATTCAACTGGATAGATCATACCCCATTCTAGAAGCTGTTCTATCTGCCTTTCAACCTCAGCTCTCATTTTTATCGGCACCCTATAAGCATATCTCTTCTTTTGTTGCGAACCTTCAACAAGTCTTATCTTGTGCAGTCCTTTTGCACACTTTCCTGGGTGCTTAGAAAAGACATGTACGAACTGCTGTACCATGCTCTACATCTCTTTTTCTTCCGCGGTTTTCTGTGATTCAGGTTCACCTGCTCCCCTCCCGTCTGTGGGGAGTTCCTCCACCGAACCGAAGTCCGGATCATCAAAGATAACACCAACAGCGTCAACGCGTGCCACATATGGCCTAAGTTTGTTGGCGTGGATCCACTTACGGCCACCGTCAGGCATCTCAACTACGTAGCTGTTCTTTCTCCTAACCTCTAGTATTTTCGCTGGTCCCAACCAAGGAAAGTTCATCTTTTTACCACTTGTGTCCCTTAGTAGCACTAGATCGCCCCTACAAAAGGCCTTCTCTTTCGCACGGAGATTGTAACGCGTGGCGTACGACCTCTGTTTGTGCTCTGCCTGTTCCTTTACTACTCGCGTCATGTCGGCCATTTGTTTTCTTAATCTAACCAGATATTTGTCCGCCGACTCAACGAGCGTGGACGGGGGCGTCCAGTCACCAGTCCACGATTTTTTTAGGATGGACAGTGGACCATTCGGCGCACGTCCATACATGAGTTCAAATGGCGACATCCCCGTAGTTTCATTCGGGACTTCGCGGTAGGCCCAAAGTAGACAAGGAACTAGGCGATCCCAGCCCCGCCCATGTTCCGCTATCACTTGCCTCAACATCCGCTTCAGCGTACCGTTCCATCGCTCAACTAGCCCATTGCTCTCAGGGTGTTCTGGTGTAGAGAACCTGGGTGACGACCCCAACCTACGCAGCAACTCCTGTGTGAGCTCGGCCGTGAAGTTTGTGCCCTGATCGGACGAGACTGTTTCTGGCACTCCCATTCGCACGAATATTTCAACCAGCGCGTCACACACTGCCTTCGCCGTTAGCGATCTGATACAAACCACTTCTGGCCATCTCGTGCACACATCAACCAGACACAAGGCATATTTGTGCCCCCTCGACGACGCCGGGTTTAACGGTCCAATACAATCCATTACAACTGTCTGGAATGGAACATCTGGTCTTACTAGCGGGGTAATAGGCACACGGTCACTGGTTCTAGGTCTCGCGTTCAACTGGCAGTAATGGCAATCTTTGCAGTATTTACTAATCTGCTCCTGCATGTTCGGCCAGTAAAATGAATTCTTAATTCGCTGTTGCGTTTTCTTTCCAGCGAAATGCCCGCCAACTGGTTTGTCGTGGGCTACTTCTAACACTGTCTTCCGCCTGCTTTCCGGTAAAACTAGCTGCTTGACAATTCTGCCATTTATTTTTTCTTTGTGGAACAGCATTCCATCAACCACTTGCATTCCATGAGTCCCTTTTTTTGCCTGTAGCCACAAGGGCTTCAGCGACTCGTCGTTCTTCTGCTCTGTTCGAAACTGAAGGCAACCTTCAGATTCTATTTCGTTTACGTCACTTCGCTCGTCCACAGACTTTACAATCCCGTTTTCACCCTCCGACTGTGTGCTCGCCACGCATGCCTCTATCACCAGCCCTTCCTTCAATAGTGCAGCATCACAGGGAAGATCCACCTGATCTACCAAGGGCACTTTCTGTTCTACTTTTCTTAAAGCTACTAAATCCTCAGGTGTGAGTAGCGCGTCAACTTCTCCGGCAAGCTGCTCGGCTACAGCACAGAGCAGTAAAGTATCCACTCCAGAATCAAACGCCCTGCTACCAAGTCGAAACGGGACATACATGAGATCCGCCTCCACCTCGTGGCCGAAAGCGCCCTTCAACCGAACCTTCCCTTTTTGATTCTCGTCCAGAATGGTGGCCATCGACCTTCGAACCACTGTAATGTCTGCCCCCGAATCAACCCTAGCAATATTCAAGCGCTTGTCTCCTGAGCGGAGTTGTACAAATCGTTCTTCGTCAAGCACTTCGTGTTGTTCAGTCAGCGATACTAGTTTATCATGTACCTCGATTGATTGGTCGGCGTGTTCGCAGTCTAAAGGTCCTTTTACTCGTGCCGTTAGCTTAGGATTGGTCTCAGGGCAATTTCTTGCCAGATGACCCTGTTTCCCACAAGCGAAACAGCGTCGAGTGTCGCCGACATACTCAGTATGACCTCTCTCTTTCGGAGGCGTCATAGACTCGCTCTGACTAGAGTCACCAGTAGTGTCTGTTTTGTGATAGGGTTTTGGGACCCTCTGTGCATTACTCTCCTGATGGCATTCAGCGAGCTTAGCTATCGCCTCGGGACGCAGCCACTCCCCCGTTTCGTTCAAGGCAACATATGCTTTTATTTCATTAGGGAAGGACTCCTTCAACCTATCCGCGACAACTAGTTGCAACAGGTCATCGTAAGTATCCACTTTTCTACTGTTCACATAATAACTGAAGTAGTTATTAAGTCGGCCGGCGAACTGGCTCCAGGACTCTTCCCGCAATTTGCCTGCCGTTGTGAATAGTCGTTTGTATTCGTTTGGAGATAATCTTAGCTCACGTAAAATTCGTTCTTTTAGCTGAGCGTAAGATGGCAGTTCCTTCATGCCACTGCACATGATCGCTGACCTGACCCTGTCAGCTATATACGGCATTATCAGAACAGTTTTTATCTCGTCAGGGACCTGAAAGGATCGAAATATGACTTCGACCGCCTCAAACCAGCCAGGCACCAAGGTTTTGTCCCCGGGCATCCGGCTGAGCACATTAGTCAAGAGTGCAGCATAGTGGGCTACCCCAGATTCTGGTTGTAATCCCAGCCCATCATCTGCACCACCACCATTTTCCTTCTGCAATTTTTGGAGCTCAATTTGTGCCCGTATTTGTTCGAGCTTTATTTTTTCAATTTCCAACCGAGTGTTCATCACTTCAGAATCAGTTCTCCCCTCATCCTCTGATGCGTCATCAGGCTCCTTAAGTTTATCAGGCATTTTACCCTCCCCTTTGCCCGACTAATAGTTCTTCGCCATGGCTCGAGTGATCATTCAACCCAAATAGACAAGCATATGCGCTCACCAATTCAGGTTGACCAGCTCTTCGTCGTCGATGGGCAGTCAGAAGCACTGGCAGCGGAAATGCTTAACAGGAATGTCTCAGGGTCCGTGCATCATTGAAATCCGGATTCTACCGCTTGCAGGCAGTAGTTCCTGTCCCTTCGAAGACTGGAAGTCTTGTTTTCTGCCGTTGGTTCTTGGGCTGAGGCTGCGCCATGCAGCGTTCGTCCCACTAGTCACGCCAAGCGCTCGCCTGGCGTCCGGTTGCATGGCCGCCGAAAAGCCGAGTTTGCTTGCTGTCAGCACCGTTCGTGCTGTGCTCCGGACTCGCCGCTCCGTCGCATATGCTAGACGAAAAGCCTGGCTTGCTTGAACTAGCAACGTCCGTGTAGTATGCCGGACCCACCGCTCCGTCGGTTGTGGCAGGCAAAAATCCGGGCTTACTTGAACTCGGCGACGTCTGTGCGGTGTTGGAGCTGGCCGCTCATCCCAAGGTTCCGTAGCTGAACTCCCGCTGTCGACTGCGCCAGTCACGGCTTGTGGTTTGGGCGCCGTGAGACCCGGGAAGGCAGGGAGCCAGCCTTTTGGGGGGAAAGCGTTTATTCCGGTTCGAAGTCGTGCTTGCACCAGCTCCAGCCCACCGCGTTCCTTTTCTCCTCGCGCACCGTCTCCAGCCTCGGTCCTTCCGTCGTCACTTCGTCTTTTTCTCGTCGCACCAATCAGCGCACACCACGGGTAACAAAAATATAACAATCACAAAGCCCGATAACCCGTCGGCGACGGCGCGCGCTGAATCCGCTGCCTCATGCATGCCACATGCATGACACCTGTTTTCCATGCGCGGCGGCGCGCGCGGCGCCGCTATTCGCCAAATTTAGTGACGTGAGGAGCAAAGCATCCAGGGCGTGCAGGAAAGGCAGCGCTACGGCCACCCACCGAGGCTGAATGCGCAACTCTGCTACCGTAGGTAGCAGAGTTGCGCATTCAGGCGACAGGTGTCGGACTGCGGATCGCATGTTCTGGGGCTCGATTTCAGCTGAATCGCCTTGTGAATCTCGCTGGTTGCGAGTAAAGGTGCCTAGTTATGATTATGTATGAATTATTAGTATACCTTTTATATGCTTACGGTTGCCCGCCATGGGCTATGCAGACTTCTCTGGAGGAGGACGACGACGACGCACCGAAACGGATGCTTGATTCCTCACCTCTGCAAGTAAATCAGTTTTTTACTATTCTTTTGGTAATTTAAACTACAACCCCCCTGGGAGCGTTCGCAAAACCTCTTGGGCAGTCATCCTGACCGAAGCCCGTACTCCGAGCGACGCAACCATGAGCGAATCCATCCCCGGCTCTGAGAGCTTCGATGACAACGATATAGATGACGCAGAAAAAGAGGGTTCCGGCTGGACCCTCAACTGTAGGAAGCGACGCCACCTCTCCGGGGGCTCTGCTTCAAGTCAAGCCACCATCATTGATGCCCATCACGAGAACCGGACGGTCATCGTCAAACCCCTAGACCCGACAAAGCTCATCGCGAAGCTTAACCCTCTAACCCTATCTCAAGAGCTAGATTCCATCACACCCCATGGAGTGATTCAAATTCGACCGAACTACAGACTGAACCTCCTTGCAATTGACATGCGGGACAACAGCTCCATGCAAACGATCCTTACTTTAACAATTCTATTAGGGATCAAAGTCCAGACCTACGAAGCTCACCCACGATCTTCGGCCGTAGGAATCATTCGTGACGTAGACAAGGACATCACAGAAAGCGACCTCAAAAAGGCTATAAGCGCAACTACGCCAGTCATCCTAGTCAAAAGGTTAGGCGCTTCAGAAACGGTGAAACTTGTCTTTGCAACCGAGACCATGCCAGAACATGTCGTTGTAGGGCATATACGCTTCAGAGTACTGCAGTACACCGACAAACCACGACAGTGCCACAAATGTCGGCGGTTCGGGCACATTCAGACCGCATGCCCCCATGTGCAACGTTGCAGCCGCTGTGGCGGCACTCACGACCGCATCGACTGCCAAGCCGACCAACCTAGGTGCGTCAACTGCAAAAGAAAGCATGAGGCGACCTCTCGAAGCTGTCCCTTTTATAAAACGGAAGCAGCTGTATCGAGCTATCGTCAGACCCACAAGGTCAGCTACCCACTAGCGAAATCAGCTGTCCTCTCCGACAACAAGAACAAAACTGCTGGAACTCTGAATCCATCTTCCAGGAACAGCCAAAACGAGAAAGTGGAGGATGCTATGATGCCGCCACTAGACGACGATCACTTTCCTGCTCTTCCACGTCAGTCAGCTGCGTCCACATCCGCATCAACTAGCGTTGGACCCGAAACATCACCGCGGCAACGCCAGGACAACTTCGCAAGAGTGATAAAAACTTCTGCTGAAAGGGCTATAGCGACACAACGTACCGATGTCGTACCCAAGGCTCCGACAATAATACTGAACCTCAAGGACTAGGATCCGCGGTGTACACCTTTGCGACGCTACTTCGTACCTTTCTGGCCACACTGGAGCACCCGCTCGCACGAGCAGGCATTACCCTAATTGACTTCACATTACATCTCGTCCACTCTTGGATCAAGTAGACTCAGGCAACTGCCAGAGCCTTAACAGATATTAATACCAACACCATGCTTGATACCCGAACGATCCCCAAAAAACGATCACAAACCCCAAAACGCCTTAAAAAACTTCCATCTATCATCCAATGGAATACCAATTCGTTCCACCGTCGCCTGCCAGAGCTTCGTCGCAGACTCATCGAACTTAAAACAGACGTACTTGCTCTGCAGGAGACATACACCCAGAAGGGTTCCCAGCGAATCTCCCCTTACGTGGAGTACCACAGCGTCACTGCTCACCCCGATGGAAAATCAAGGGCTTCCCTTTTAGTCAAGCGACACTTCCTGCATGGAGAAATAGATCTGCCTGACCTGAACACCACTGTTGCCGAACATGTCGCCGTCAAATTACAGATTGCTGATCAAACAGTCGTAATTATATCATCCTACATCCGACCAGCCCAATCGTGGGACCCAGACCTGCTGAGAGTAATAAGAGACCGATGCCCAGGGCCTATAGTCTGGTGCGGAGATTTTAATGCCAATCATTACGCCTGGGGAAGTGACACAACGACGGAACGAGGAACCGCACTGCTTGAAGTCACCAGAGACCTTGGACTACGTTGTCTCACCTCCGGAGCTCCAACATTCGTTCGCGCGAATCTACAAAAGGCGAGTGTACTTGACCTCACTTTTGTATCAAAAGAAATAAGCGCTTCCTATGGGACATCGAACCAGGCACCTGGGGGAGCGACCACCTACCAATCCGACTCACCCCACGTTATGGCACCCAACCAAAAACCAGGGTTCACAACAATACCCTATTGGAAAAACCAGCATGAAAATCAAACTGGTCAAGCTGGTAATTAAGGTGGTCAAGCTGGTAATCAAGGTGGTCAAACTGGTCAATGTGGTAATTAAACTGGTTTAGCTGGCAATCAAGCTGGTTTAAGCTGGGCAAGCTGGAATTTAAGCTGGTCAGTCTGGTCTAAGTAAAAACCAGCATGGTCTCACTCGAATCTGGTTTTAGATTCAATCTGGTGTAGCTGGGAGCCAGTCTGGTCTTAACTGGTCAAACTGGTTTTCCATGGAGCCAATGTGGTCAAGCTGGGAGACGAGCTGGTCATGCTGGGAGACAAGCTGGTGAATCTGGTCGAAATAATAATCGTGGTGGTCAAGCTGGTCATGCTGGGAGCGCGCACGCCAAGGTCGGCTAGAGATAGCCGAACTGGCATTGCTGGGAGCGCGCGCGACAAGGTCGGCTGCTGGAACGAGGCCACGTCCTGTTCTTTGTCCTCTCGTTTTTGGTAGACCACCGGGCGCGTCAGGCGCGCTGCAAGCTACCTTTGTGTGCGAGAAAAGAGAGAGAGAGAGAGAGAGTGGTAGAAACGGAGAATCGAAGACGCGTTTGGATAGCTTGGGCAGAGGGCAGATCGAAGGGACGGCTGTGTGCGCGTTGTTTGGAGACTAGTTGAACGACGGTGCAAGCGAAGCGGGTTTTGAGAAGACAGCGAGCGGCAGTCCGTTCAGTGCGGGAAGATGTCAGACGTCCCGACTGCGGCGTCGCTTCGTGTCTTCGAACGTGTGTGTGCCCAAGAATGACGGCGGTGCCGAGGAGTATCGCCAATGCCATCCAAGCTAGCCACACGGATTTCCTCGCCTCTGCCGACCACGCAAGTTGCCGCTTCGCCCCCATCGCTGGCGGGACCCAGGTTCGCTTCTCTCGTCCGTGTAGTATTTTCGTCTGCTATTGCCTGTTTTTGGCCTGTGTCTAGTATTTTTTTCGTGTTGAGAGATAAGCAATCTGGTTTTATTAACATTGTAGACAATTTGCACCGAGAATCTGTGCGTCGGTTAGTACTGTGTCAGCGCCGAGGATGTGTAGCATTTGAGTTCATGTGAGGCTGCCGCAAGTACGAAAATAATAAATTGGATGCCGAGTTGGCTTTTCTGACGAGCTTGGCTTTTTTATTCTGTGTATTAATTTAAACAGGTTAAACTGGTTGGGAAGTTCACCAGCATGACCAGTTTAACAGCATGACCAGCATGCCAAACAGGGCATGCTGGGGCAATAACCCAGCTTGAAGCTGGGACCAGATCAACCATCATGACCAGTATGACCAGATCAACCAGCATGACCAGCATGCCAAGCTGGGCATGCTGGGGCAATAACCCAGCTTGAAGCTGGGACCAGCTTAAGCTGGTTTTTTCAATAGGGTACCAACTGGGACAGGTACAGAGAAGTATTCTCAAATCTGATGAAAAGCACAAAGGCCCCTTGCTTAGAAGAAGCTATACTAACGTCCTTAAATATAGCTACAACAAAAATCACCCTCCCGATAAGCAAGCCCG